GACATTGGCTCAGTGGCGGCACTGAAAAAAGGGACATAAACTGTTTTTCACACCTATGACCATTGCAGCAACCCCTTGGTCACATGATCCAAATTCAGACCCTTGGCAACTGACTCGTATTTATGACAGTCGTAATGTCCCTGGGGGTCACGTGATCCCCTTTTGCAAACTTCTGATGATCAAAGTCAATGGAGAAGCCGGATTCACTTAATAATGGTGCACTAATTTAATAACTGTAGCTATTCACTTAGCGACACTGGCAAGGAAAGTCATAAAGTGGTGCAAAACCCAGCTGTCTTACTTAATAATGAGCAGGTGCCAAGCATCTCAATCATTTAGCCACGGGGGTTGCAGCAATGGTCGTAAGTGAGAAAAAAAAACCCATCCTTTTTTCAGGTGCCGTTTTAATTTCGGCCATTAATTTATCTTTCTTCTCCAGAGTCCAGTTCTGGCTTCTTTCAAAGGTCAGCCTGAAAGCCCTTGTCCGGATGATGCCGCAGTCAGGCGCCTTACATAATAGGATTAAACGAAAAGAAAGAAGCATACACCCACACAAAATAGTGATAATAAAAATTGAGGGTGAAAATATGCCGGGCGAAATCCAAGAACAAGGAATCTTTTCTGTAGAAACACCTGTCTGCTTTCGAATTCTTCTGAAAAGCCCGAAAACTTTGCCAAGTAAGAGAATTTCGCCTCGTGAAGGATTAGTCTCGCAACTTTCAGCATCACTCTGCACATGCTGAAAGTGGTGGATTTCGGGTGGAAGAGAAAAAAGGGCACACATTTCAAAATATACACTTGATTAATTAATGGATACTAGAAGTGTATAATGAGAGTATTTTATTATGATTAAAGTAGGGGAATGAATTTTTTTAAAAATTAGATAGATTGAGGGGATATACCGTGTGGATCCTAAATACAGTATACTGGCTCTATTTTAGTTTTACTCTTTTTAGATTGTTTATTATATATTGGCTTGGAGAAAATTAAGGATAATAATGATGTATAATGTAAAATAAAATAGGTGGTAAACTGAAAATGGAAATAATAGGGGATAAAGAATTGAAAATTTACGTGGGGATGAATTGATATTGATATTGAATTAATGAATTGAAATATGAAATGGAAACTTATTTAAAGATGAGTGAAATGGATAATGGTATGAGATGATATTATATAAGTTTGATGGAAATGAAAGTATGACAACGCACCAGTGTTATAATCCAGAATCATGTTACTCACGTGAAGAGATGTGTAAAAATAAAAAAAATAGAAACCTTTTTTTAAAAAAAAGTTACAAGGGCACTGAAAAGAGCGAAATGGACTGTTTTTCACACTTGCGACCATTGCCGCATTTAGCAGCAATCAGTGGAACAAAATTCGGATTGCTTGGCGACGGACTCTTAGTTATGACAGTCGCCGTGCCCCTGGGGGTTACGTGATTCCCCTTTTGTAACCTTCTGACAAGCGGAGTCAACGGGGAAGCTGGATTCGCTTAACAACTGGGTGACTCACTTAACAACTGCAGTGATTCTCTTAACAACAGTGGCAAGAAAGGTTTTAAAATGGGGCACAAAGAAATGCCTCACTTAGCAACAGAACGTTTGGGCTCTATTGTGGTCGTAAGTTGAGGACTAACTATACTCTAAATGCCCCAAGTGGGAGATCTTGGTACAGGACGTGCTCGATTTATGACCATAATGGGGATTACAATTTCCACTGCTGAGCAAGGGTTGCTAAGCCCCTAATTTTACCAACTTCTTTTTTCATGGTTGTTAAGTGAATCACTGTGGTTGTTAAGTGAATCATATTCCCCCCCTCCCGGTTGACTTGGCTTGTCGGAAGGTCCTAAGTGGGAATCACGTGACCTTAGGATGCTGAAACCATTGTGAGTGCCTGCCAGCTGCCGTGCACCCCTAAGTTTGATCCTGTGACTGTGGGACGCTGGGCCGGTTGCAAAAGGGAAGACAGGTTGTCAGCCACTTTTTCCAGGGCTCTTGTAACTTCAAACGGTTGCTAAATGGTCATAAACTGAGGACTACCGCTACCTCAATAGGAAACAAATTTCAATAATAATAATACAACTTCGAGGACGTTGAGGCGAGATAAGAAAGTTTTCTTCTTCCAAGAGAAGAACTCGCAACCCAGAATATGTTTGCTTGTTTATCACACGTGGAAATTGTCTACACGCCTCTCAGGATTACTCTATATCCATTTCCTGTACCGGGCAGGGGGTAGACTAGATGACCTTGGGGGGACCCCTCCTTCTAACCCTAGGATTCTATGGCTCCCAAAATGTAGAGGCAATTTAGGAGCACTTGAAGTTTGACTGTGATATCTGACCTTCCACTGATCTGGGGTGCTAAACCCAGGTTTATTTTATTTTTTTTTAGTTTTAATTTTTAGGTTTCCAATCATTGTAAAATATGCACAGCAGAGACTGTGCAATGCCCGATGCTGAGACACCCCTAGGAGATTCCCAGGAACAATTCCTGGGGAATTCTGGGAGCTGAAGTCCACACCTCTGAAATCCATCTAGTAAAATAAAATTACGAAATAAAACTCAGAAACTTTGGATGGGAGACCACCAGGAGATCACGTAACCCCTTGCAATTTTTGGAGATTCATTGCCACCTTGGAGAAACAAATACACCATGACAATATGTGGCTGGGGAATTCTGGGAGCTGAAGTCCACACCTCTGAAATCCCTCTGGTGAAATAAAATTATGACATAAATCTTAAGAGATTTTGGGTGGGAGACCACCAGGAGATCACATAACCCCTTGCGATGTTTGTACAGCTGTGTCATGGAGGCTCATCGTCCCTTAGAGGAATAAATACACTGCACCAGTGGCTGGCCGGGGAATTCTGGGAGCTCAGTTCCATGCCTGTGAAGTCCACCTGATGTAATAACATTGTAAAATAAGTCTTAGAGAACCTGGATGGGAGACCACCAGGAGATCACACAACACCTTGTAACTTATTCTACAGCTCTCTCACGGATACCCACCATCGCCTTTGGAGGAACGAGTACACGACGCTAGTGGCTGGTTGAGGGATGGTTGAGGCTGTGAGTTCGATTGTAGGCAGAAGCTAATATTTGGAATAGACTCTCCTGCTCAGGCAGGGGTTGGACTAGATGACCTCCAAGGCCCCTTTCCAACTCTGTTATTTTAGGTTCTAAGTGTAACGCCCGCTTTGAGAACTTCACTTCCTTTCCCCGAGAAGTGATGCCAGTTCGCACACGCACCTCCTTGAATATCACCACGAAGCAAATCACAGCCTCTCACTGGCTGGTGGGTTTTGTTTGTGTTCCATAATGTTAGGATGCTCCCAATGCCAGTTTGTTATGGCCAAGGTTGGGACCCCCCAGTGGACAATGACGGTTCTTGCGGTTCTTGTCGGACTGTCCAACTGGATGGTGGCCAGGTCAGATTTGGTTCAGCCCAAGGGGACCGTCTGAAGCTGGTCAGTTAAACCTGGTTGGATGAACTGAAAAGAGCAATGGGCTCCGCTCGAAGCTGGTAAATCACTGCCAAAATCATCTTAAAGGGAACCAGATTCGAACTTTCAAGCGGAATGATGCCGGATCGCCTAAAGACTAACCCTCCCCCTCCCCCTTTCAATGCAAGTCCTCGATTTACGACTACAATCGGAAGTAGGATTTTCCTGGCTAAGCAAGGAGGTTGGTTAAGTGAATCGTGCCTGATTTCACAGCCTGGAGTTGAAGTGGTTGTTAAACGAGTTGCTGAGGTTGAATTGCATGATCATTAAATGAATCCGGCTTTGCCATGGCTTGTCGAAGCCAACGGGGAAGGTCACAAATAGTGACCACACCATTCTGGCATGCTGTAAATACTCGCCAGGTGCCAAACACCTGGATTTTAATCACTGACTGTGTGGGGATGCAGCAACGGTCGTAACTGCAAGGACCAGTCATAAGTCACTTTTTTGAATGCCATTGTAACTGGTTGCTAAGGCCACACTTGCTGACAGTGGAATTCTGGGAATTGAAGTCCATACAAGTCAACTGTGGAATTCTGGGAGTTGAAGTCCGTACAAGTCAACTGTGGAATTCTGGGAGTTGAAGTCCGTACAAGTCAACTGTGGAATTCTGGGAGTTGAAGTCCATACAAGTCAACTGTGGAATTCTGGGAGTTGAAGTCCGTACAAGTCAACTGTGGAATTCTGGGAGTTGAAGTCAACCTGTGCCGACTGTGGGATTCTGACAGTCAAATGTCCTCACAGTTGCCAAAGTTGAGCAACTCTGCCCTAAAGCAAAGCATTTTGCTTGGGTACTTGGATGGGAGGCCACTCAGAGATCCTAGGACAGGAAAGTCAAAACACCCTTCCTTCCAGAGAACAAACCAATTTGCAACCTAGAGCTTTGAAGGGGAAAAACCTGACTGGGTGTTTGCCTTGGATATTGGGGTGATGATGATGCTTAATGGAGTCCCCAGCAGTTGCGGGGTGTCTGGTCGCTACATGATCTGATATACGGCAGAATCTTTGCATCTGCTTAAACTGAGATTTAGCTGTGGTTTGAGGAATAGGCCACGAGGGTTTGATTTTGGAGGGTACCATCAGCCATCCTCTTTCTTTCCCTCCCTCCTCCCTCTTTTTCTTCCTTTTCTATTCCCTTTCTCTTTCACCCATCCTCTTCGGCTTCCTTCCTTTAGTCTCTCCTTCTATTCTATTTCTTTTTTTTTCATTCTCTCCTCTTTCCTTCTTTCCCTCCCTTTTTTTTCATGCACTGTCCCCTTCCCCCTTCTTCCTTCCTCCTCTCATGCTCTCCTTTTCTTCCTCCCCCTTTCCTTCCTTCCTTCCCTCTTTCTTTTCCATCTACTTTCCATTTTCCCCCCGTCCCCTTCTCTTCTCCTATGCGATCCTTCTATTTCATTCCTTTCCATTTCATCCCTTTCCCTTTCTCCCTTTCCCTTTCCATCCCCTCTTTCCTTTGCCCCCCTCTCCTCTTGCGCCGCTCTCCCCCCTCCTCCAGGGCCTCCCCCCCGGGGGGCGGCTCTTCCCCGAGCCCGCCCCCCAGCTGGGCTCGTCCCCCTCCGTCCCCCGTCGGCTGCTTATAAAGGGGGCGTCCCAGCCGGCCGCCGCCGATCCGGCTCATCGGGAGGAACGCGATGATCAGCGCCAGCGCCGAAGCAAAATGCTGGATGGACACCCCCGGCAGCGACGGCTCTTCTTCTCCTCTTGCTGCGCGATCCTAGTTCTGCTCTCCTGCGCCCCGGACCTTTCCGCCGCCTACTTCGGGTGAGCGCCCCGCGCCGCGCCGCGCCGGAGGATCCTTGCCTCTGTGTCCCCTTCCCCTTCTTCGGAATTGCGCGGGACCGGAGGCTGCAAATTTCCTCGTCTCTCTTAGGAACCGTGGTTCCCCGGGGGAGCTGCATCTTCCCAGAGCCCCTCGGGCGACGGGGGGTGGGGGGCGACCTCCGCTGCCCCATTGCCAGCCGGCGCCCCTTCCCCACTTTGCCATCCAAGCGCGCAGCCTAACCTTCCCCTCCTGTCTGGGGCACGTAGGGCAAGTGAGCTCCCTTGCGCGGGGCAGTTAGAATAATCCTAGTCCAGCCTCCTGCCCAAGGCAGGGGCCCCTACACCTCTTGCCTCGCTCCTACGCGGAGAACCCCCTAATTTGGCGTCACCTGTTCCCTCCGGAGCGCAAATGGGTCTCAAACCGGTTCCCCAACGCTCGGTGCTTTGTGCGCAACGATCGGTCGCGCCTCCGAGTCCCTTTCAGCACCCCGGCCGTCGCTGCGCCCAGCTCTCCCACTTCTCTCTGCCTCCCACTAACTTTGGCAAACTTTCTATACCCTCTTCCCTGTTCCCCGCCCCTTTCATGGGAGTATCGGCCGACTCTGTGGAACTACAAAGCCCATCGTATGCAGCCTCCGGGTGGAGGGGTGGGGATGTGCTTTGAGTCACCTGTGATCAAAGTTGGGGACTGTGAACAGGTGGATTGTGGCCCTGTTTTGCGGTTTTGAAATGGGCTGGGGAGTTATGGAGGAAGCAGGGAAGGAAGAGAATTATTAATAGATAGAATTAATAGATTAATAGAATTATTATTTATCAATGGATCAGATTTTAGAAGAGAAGAAAGTTTGGCTTAAGGCCACAAGGCTGGCTAAGGCGTTTCAAGAGAATGAGGACGTTCTTGTTCTACCTTCTTAAAAATCTTGCAAAATTGATATTTTATGTTCTGTAAGTCCTTCTCTCACCTGGTTAAATGCCCTTCTCTCACCTGGTTAGATATCTGGGGTGACAATTCCTTGATTAGAAGCAGCAGATAAAAATGAAAACCCAAGCAGGTTGGCAGGACTATTTCAAAGTTCTGATTCCATTTTAAGAAGAAATTGGCACTTTAAATCTATTCATACCTGAGATTTTTTAAAATTCTATTTGAATACATGGAGGGGATGGGAAGTGCCCGGTTGAGACATGAGTCTGAATAATTAATCTTTAATTGATATTAAATGCTTCTTGGAGATTCTTTAATGCAGTTCATTTTTCAGCCTTATCTCCTGCTGATTCAAAGAAAAATATTCTTTTCTCGTTATTTTGCTGTAAGAAATTCAGTGTGTAACAATACATGTGGGATTAATTGCCCTGAACTCTTGGTGCATCTTGGAACTGATATATTGAAGAAACTGTGACATAAATGATAAACAATGTCCCAGTTTGGTATTGATCCCTTGAACAAATCTCAAAAGATGTTGGCTAATATAATGATCTTATAAAAAGATCCAGGTTATTAGTAAACTCTTAGAGTTGATTAGATTTGAAAAAAATTAATATTAATTTAACCTTAAATGTTTTGTAACTTTAAGAGATTTGGGCTTCAACTCCTGGCTGGGGAATTCTGGGAATTGAAGTCCATACCTTTTGAAAGTGTTCCAAACTGCCTGTTAAGGGTTTGGATGTGACATTTTCTTAGAATTCAATAAAACTAGCAGTGTTTATTTATTTATTTTTTATTTTTTGCTTTTTTATAAAATAGGTCGACCCATTCTTCAAACACGAGTTAACTTCTCGGTCGATAAGAACCAAAATGCTAGGCCGCCTCTCCTTTGGCTTTCTTGCTGTGACGTCTGGGGTTGCTGTGCATGATGGTTTGTGAAGTCCAGACCAAACCATCGTGTTCTTTTTCTTGAGGATAGGTGAAGTTACAGATTGGCAAGTGGATGGTTTTGGAATAATGAACCTAAATGTGATGCATCCTGGGGAGTTTTTAAGAAGAGATGGGATTATCTGAAATGGTATAAGGTTTCTTGCTTGAGCAGAGGGCTGGACTAGATGACCTCCACAGTCCCTTCCAATTCTGTTATTCTGAAATGAGTGTTTTTAAAAAGTCTGTTGCATTTTAAACTTTGCATCTGTTTAAGGGTGAGCATGCTCTGGTCTGGTGTGTCTGGAAGATGTTAATTGTTCACACTGAAGTTTTCCTGCAGTTTAGCTCATGTCTCGTGTGGGAAAAAAAGGCTTTGGTTTAACACAGAGTTTAACACAGGGTGGCAAATATTGAAAATCAATAATTTGTGTCTTCATATTCCCCGTGATTCTTCAGAGAAGTTTCAACAACATCTTTACAACCATCTAAACCCTCCATAAGCTGCAGTTTGCAAACAGCTGGAGAGAAGGTGATGGTGTGTGTGTGTGTGTCGGTTTAGTGTGGGCGTGTGTGCATGGGTGTGCAAGGAAGGAACTGAGACAAAAGAGGTACAAAGAATAAAGGCAGCTGAAAGGAATTTGGTATTATTAATGGTGAGGTGTCTTTACTGTGGGTGTGCAAGGAGGTAATTGAGACCGAGAGGTACAAAGAATGCAACCAGCTGGAAGGGATAATGGTGAAGTCTCTCTTTGGTGTGTGAGTGTGTACGTGGGTGTGCAAGGAAGAAACTGAGACCACAGAGGTGCAAATAATGAACACAGCTGTAGGGAATGTGATAGTATAATGGAACGGTCTCTCTTTTGTGTGGGCTTGTGCATGGGTGTGCAAGGAAGGAACTGAGACCACAGAGGTGCAAAAAAGGAAACCAGCTGGAGGTCAGAATGCTGAAGTCACTCTTTCAAATGTGGGTGTGTGCATGAGTGTGCAAGAAAGAAGACGTGATCAATGACCCACAAATAATCTTGTCTAGAATATATGTTTTTGGTCTTCTGCAAGCTACTGGTTTAAAAATGGGAAGGAAATAAAAATCAACCGAGAAGATAAACAGTTATTTCCTTGTTTTCTTTTTTTTTTTCCTGAGAAGAAAATGGGCTGATTTGGAAATTGGATTTTGCCTACTTTGACTGATCTGTGCCCAGTCAGTTTCTCTCATTTTCTTTCTGGAAATCATAAATGGGTGAAGAACCTTCTCCCACTTTTATACCCACATACCCTGCCTCGTCTTTTAAATTATTCCAGGTTTTTTTCCTAGATAGAATTTCCTTCCATCTTAAGTAAGCGCTCTACTTCTAATTAAATTGGGTGATATTTCGAGTGTCTAAACCAATGTTTTCAAAACTGGATGATTATTTTGAGTGTCTAAACCAATCTTTTCCAAACTGGATGATATTTCAAGCATCTAAAACAAGGTTTCTTCAAACTTGGCAACTTTAAGAGAAGGTGGACTACATCTCCCAGAATTCCCCAGACAGCTGAATGGGGAATTCTGGGAGTTGTAGTCCACCTTCTCTTAAAGTTGCCAAGTTTGACAAACACTGTGTAAAAAATTCCTGCACAAGTTTTGCCGCTTGCTAAAATCTGTGATTGGAGTTTTTTGGGGGGAAGGGTGAGTGTGGAAAAAATATTGCAATTCCCACGGCTGCCGGCAGAGGGATCCATTAAACCATCAATTAATTGGGGGGGGAGGGGGGGAAGGCTGATTTTCTTATTTTAAAGCTTTGCAGGTGTATCCTGTCCTTTAAGAAAATAAAATATTTTCATGGGAAAGTTATTTTACCCTCTTTCTTCCTTCACACCCCTGTTCATTTCTATTTATTTTTTTTTCCTCCCTGGAAGGATCCAGAGAGAACTTATCTGGAGGAAAACAGAGGGGAAAAAAATTGCAAGAATTAGCTGGAATTCCCGCCCCCCCCTCCCTTTGCTGGCTGGCTTCGAAACTGGGCCTCTGATCTTCTTCCTACGGGCCCGGTTTTGCAAATCGGGGCTTGGGAATGGAATGGGAAACCTGGTTTTTGCAAGAACCGAGAAAGAAACACCATTTTTTGCAACCTGTAAAGAGATCGGTATAAATAAAGGACAATGACTGTAGCTCAGGGTTGAAAAGAGCTTGGTTGTCATCTTGTAGACGTTACATAACTGAACTAGGTAGCATCATCAGTGCTAGAAGAGAGTGGGGTGTGTGGAGGGGAGAGGAGGAGGAGGAGGAAGAGGAGAAAGAAGAGAAGGAGGACTGTGGGGTCTTTGGTGCTCTCTGAGCTTGGTTGTTATCTCGTAGACGTTTCATAACCCAGCCAGATAACACCATCAGTGCTAGAAGGGAGTGGGGTTGTTCTCTGTTTATACAAATAAAGACGAACACAATACGGAAGCCTGATGATGGCAGATGGGATTCTGCCAAAACGTTGCTACAACTTTAAAAGCACAACTACAATGACGTGGGAAAATACCCGAACAAAGCTGAATACCACACACACACACACACACACACACACACACACACACACACACTCCCTTCTACTGCTGTGGATGTTACCTAGTTGGGTCATAAAATGTCTGCAAGGAAAACCCCAGGCTCAAAGAACACAAACAACCCCACAATTCTTCTCTTCCCCCTCCTCCTCCCACTCCCTCCTCCTCTTCTCCGCCCTTCTAGCTCTGATGATGTTACCTAGTTAGGTCATGAAACGTCTGCAAGAAAACCACCAAACACAGTGAGCACCAAGGACCCCGCATTTCAATCCCCAGCTACAAATTTTCCCTGTTTTAATCATTACAAAATGGTGTGCTTTATCTCTTATTTTACATTTTCTCATCAGAGATGCAAATAATTTAACGTGCAGAAAGCCAATTGGGTTCGGAAGCATGGGCTGGGATGTAAACCAGGATTGAGGGTAGCCACAGGGGCCGAGCTACATTTGGGGCAAACCAAGGCTGCCAGCCCCCTTTTATTTCATACAGAAATGGACTCAGTCCTCTATGATTCCTGCATTGGTCTACAAACCTACCATTTGTTTACAAGCCTACCATTCCTGGCTAAAAGATTCTGGTTTGAACCTCTCCCATGGTGGTTTATTGAACAAAACGTGGT